ACACACACACACACACACACACACACACACACACACACACACACACACACACACATTTGCTTTGAGAGCTCATTAAATACTGAAGTCAAGTAAGCTTTACACGAATATAAGGTGAAGGGTGCCTCTCCCCCTCTCCCCGTACAGGATAAAAGTACCTTTTAAGGTAATCCTTGCTTAAGCAGAAGTAACCCTTGCTGCTCTTTTGATACTATTTCAGCCTCCTTTAGGGTTTTCTTGTTGTTACTATGAAAATTTCTTCCTTTAGTTTACATTTCTGACCTCTATGTTTATTTTCCAGCAGAAAGACTTTTTTAATTTTCTGAGAAAAACCAGGATGAAGAAAGCTGAAGGTGACTGTTTTTGGAGGACCCTAACGGAAGGAGGTCTCTAAAGGAGTCTCATTTTTTAAACTGTCTTTAGAGCTGTCTTAAGATAGTGCCAGCATGTGCGTGTGGGAGACAGGTGTTCCCCCATCTACTTCTCACTCTCTTTCTCACTGAGGTGCCTTGACTCTAACTTTAGCACTTTGTAGCTCTCAAGATTAAAGTAATGTAGGAACCAAAGCTACAGAGTTGGTTTAAGTGGCAGGAGGCAGGTTCAAATTAGCCATCGGGAGGTTTATTCTATTTCCCCTCTGAGATAGGTGTGTATCTGGCTCTGTGAAGCCTTTTGCATGTTCTGATATTGCAGGGATAAAAAGCTTGTTTGAAATCATAGGAATGCATTTGGCACCAATGTAGATTCACCAGCTAAGGAAAATATGGCTTCTTTGACCTATCCAGAGAGCAAGAAGAGCTGGTAAAATTCTTATCTACTTCCTTCCTTACTACTGTGTCTACTGACACAGATGATCCCATAGTAAATAGGCTGCCCTGGCCTAAGTCCCCTCACTGGATGATTGTATTCCACTGTGAGAAGATTGGATTTGGGGCCTGGAAAAGTGGCTCAGTGGTTAAGGTCACTTGCTACTTTCACTGAGGACGAAATTCCCTTAACCACATGGAAGCTCACAACCACCAGCAACTCTAGCTGGTGGATCCAAAGCCCTCTTCTGGCCTCCTCTGGCACCCACACATATGTGGCACACACACAGATACACAAATAAAATAAATAAAATTGAAATCTACCCAATAATCATCATGTCAACATATATATATATATATATTAATTTTGGAAATCAATAGTCCTGCACTGGCAACTTTACAAATGTGTATTTTTTTCTGCAATATTTTTCCTTATATGGCTTCAGGTAGACTATAGTAATTAACATAATTGATATGGAATTAAGAGCAAAATAAAGAGAAAAAGATAAGTATGCAAAAATAACTAGATAAAAGTGTGATATTCTAATGTTCTTTTCTGAGTTAGCTAATTGTGAAATAAATATAAAATCTGATTAATGCAAAGTTTACCAATGAAAACTGTGTGCATTTTTTTTTGAAATGTAGAACCTTTAAGTGTCTTCTAATATCTATGTATCAGTGACTATAACCATAACTTCTGGTGCTGAAGATCTGAGTTTGTTTTAGGCTGTAGTAGGATCTCTGCAGAACCATGTTGCATCACCCCCAGAGGGTAGATGAGTATGTTGGGATCACCATTACAGTCAATCGAAAGCTTATCTGCTATCACACCAACTTAAGAATAGCCAGGATCCATCTCAGCCATTTCAGACACTAGGAACACGGAGTTTGTGTTGAGATTAAAAGACTGAACCGTATGTGATTACTGCTTTTGTAGGTTAAAAGAATTATCTAACGTACATTTTTTTTTGTTTCAGTTTGACATATAAGCCAGGCACAGTGGCACACACCTGTAATCCCAGCACTCCAGGAGGCAGGGGTCTACAGAGGGGGGAAAAGATATATGAGATTAAGATTAAGTGATCCCAGAGAGCATGTAGTTGATTTCAAAAGTATAAGGTGGAGCATGTGCCAAGAGCAGTTGGGAGCTGTCAGACAAGCTCCAAGAAGAGAGCCCTTGAAGAAAGAGAGTGGGGAGGAGAGGGGGCTCTTTAGCAAAAGGGAAGAACAGTCAGCAATGGGAAAGAGAATGGTGCTTAGGAAATGAGCAAAGCTGTTCTTCATTGGTGGAGCTTCATGTTAAGACTAGGTGTGTGGTGCTTGTCTATAACTTAGGCACAAGTTATAGAAGGCCACAAGTCCAAGGCCAGCTTGGGCTACAAAGTAAGTCCCAAACAAAGCAATACAGTTTTAAGTTAAAATTAGAGTGGTCCATAAAGGACGAAAGAAAACTGCATGCTACACAAGAGCAGCTTCCCAGATGTGTAAACAGAGCCTCTGTCTATGGTTTCTACCCTGACCATCCACATCGTCTGCATGCAGCACTTGTTCTTATTTGAGGAAGACAGAACCAGAGAGGAGGACAAAACATTCAGATGCCCAGCATCTAGGAGTTTGGAAGTTTGACTTACTTCAGAATCAAAATACTGGTCATCAGTTTGTGAGCCTGAATTACAACTGCTGGGGTAGTCAGTCCTGCTGCAGGCCTGGGGGGATGTGAGTGAGCCCCACCTGTCCTGGAACTGACGTCCCAGCTGTATGGAAATGCCCTTCACCACAGAGCCACCTCCACACTGGAGAAATCACCAGTCATAGGGTCTTTATAAGGTAGGCTACAGTGCACTTTCAGTAGCTCTCACAGGGTGCCATATGGCTTTGAGCATGTGTGGCCTATGCTTTCCCTTCTTTTGCGCAGTCTGAATCCAGACTGCATGGATTTAGCTGCCTCTCTGTCTTCACCCGTTGTGGCTCACAGGTCCTGGACTTGTACAGACTTTGCTTTTTTTCAGCATTTTTTTTCTCTAAACACAGTGCAGTGGGCTTTCCTATTGTGCTTGCTTTGTATTGGGTATAATGTGTGATCCAGATAAGGTTTAACATATGGGGAGGCTATATGAAAGTTTCATGCAATGGCATCTCATTTTCCACAAAGGATACGACCATCTGTGGATTTTACCCCATAGACCCTGAGGAATAATTGTACCTGTAAAGAAGGTTCCCATCAGCCATTCTTTTTTTCTCCTGAAGTACATTCCTACATTATCCAACAGCACTTCTAAAGCTACGCTTTTTTTTTTTTTTTTTTTTAATTTTAGACTGAATTTCACTAGGGAGCCCTGACTGACCTGGAACTCACTAAATAGATCAGAGTAGCCTTGAATTCACAGAGGTCCACCTGCCTCTGGGTCCTTGTGCTGAAACTAAAGGTGTGTGCTACCACACATAGTTGCATTTTTTTAAAAACTTGGGTTTCCATTCCAACATAACTATCATAAGTAAACTTAAATTTGAAAATTTCACAAAGGAGTAAAAATGGAAAAAAAAGGGAGGAGGAGAGAAACTGATTAAACTGTGGTCATCCCCAGTATCTGAGCAGGTGACTCCTGTGGAGGGGAGCAGGGGGTGCTTTGTCTGCCCAGAAAACACTCCCCAATGCATGCTGTGAGCCTACAGTCTGCGTGCATCCTCCTGTGAGCAATTAAGAAAATTTTATGTTAAACATTCCAGTCAGAAATGATCTTAAGATTATCGCCAAAGTAAGTTTAAGGAGAGTTAAATGATCTAAATTTGTGGAAAACCAATTGAGCTTCAAGCTTTGGTGAGAAAACACTGAAGTAAAGGATCCTGCAATTAAAAAAAAAAAAAAAAAGGAAGAACCCACTAAATACTCAGTGACAGAGCACCTGGACTTTCCTGAATGCTTTCTAGTTAGTTATCCCCTGCCTCGTGAACAGTGTGTGTAGTGCCAACCAGGCAAGCAGAGACTGTGGCTGTGGAGACACAGTGGGGACTGCCTCTCCTTCAGGGGTAACCTCATTCCTGTCTTCAGTCAGTCAAGAAGTGTCAAGGAAAGGTGAGTATGTTGTGCTAACACACAATAATAATAAAACGTGCAGTTAACTTAGAAAAAAAACTATAACCAGTTACTCCATATCCATGGCTTTCAACTCTCTTATGTTCCCCAGCCTTTTTTTTTTTTTTTTTTTTTTAAGACAGGGTTTCTCTGTGTAGGCCTAGCTTTACTGAAACTTACTCTGTAGAACAGAGATATCAGAGATCTGCCTGCCTCTGCCTCCCAAGTACTGGTATTAAAGGTGTGTGCCACCACAGCCTGGAAGTGTCCTAACCTTTATTGAGGTGTAATTGTACTTTGCTGACAAGTTTCTCCTTAAAATAAGAAAATACCCTAGACTGAATAATTTATAAAACACGGGTGTATCATCTTCACAGTTCTGGAAGCTGGAAGGACCAATACAAAGGTCCTCTCAGTTTGCTCTCTGCTTCCCAGAGGGAGCCTACTCCCATCTTCGTATGGCTGAAGAGACTGAAGGAGGGGACTCACCCCCACAATCTGCCAGGTGATGTTTCATCCAGGGAGCCTCTGTCTCCAGGACTTAACCATTCTCAAGTGTGACCTATTGATACTGTCACACTGGTGATTAAATTTCAACATGTGAATTTGGGGATGATGCAAATAAAAAAAAACCATATTAGTTTTCATGTGTTTCTTAATGGATATGCAGTGTATGTTTTGGGGGTTCTTAAAAATTTCATCCACCGTCAGTGTTAAAGTTTTCCTCATTCTGGATGCCTTACAACAAATATATAAGCCTAGAGCAGACTCTCATTCCTGCCATTCTCCCTGGCCAGGAACATGGGCTCCAAAGATGTGTCATTCAGCTTTTGTGTGCAGAGAGCCTGGTATCTTCTGGGTCTCGGGTGACCAGAGCCAGGCTTCTCCCCGGCAGGGAGATCACAGTCCTGTAGGGCGCGCATGAAGCGGAGGAATGACACTCGAAAGGACAGCTGGGCCGAGGCCAGCTCACACAGGTGTAAAGAATGGCTTCCCTTGTGCATAATGATCGCCAGGAGTTTGTTTTGAGATTATGGCGAGAGTTAAGATCCTCTTGATGGGCTCAGCTGACAGGAATCTTCTCAGGTGCTCGTCATGTGGACGGAGCACACATCCTCAGGCTTTGGGCCACTAATAGGAATCTTCAGCGTTTTCTGTGCCCAGATGTAACAAGCCCTGAACCATTATAATTTCTAAGAAGAGGGATGGTTAAAGGGTTAGAGGGAAGCTTGGGGAGAGTGTAGCCTCTACTGGAAGCCTTTTTTCATGATGTCTTCTCACCTACCTTTGTCTGTTTTTTTGGGTTTTTTTTTTTGTTGTTGTTGTTTTTGTTTTTATAACATGTAAGCCTAGTGATTTTCAGACTTTCTAGGAAGCAGTTTGTTTTATTTTGATGGTTGTTATTTTATAAAAATATTCAAGATTTTCATACAATATATTCTGATAACATTTACCTCTTAGAACTACTCCACCTCCCTAGGTATCCAAATTTAACTTTGTGGTGTGTGTGTGTGT